ATATAATACAGACTGTTTTATATATATTATATATATATATATATAAGCTTTATATTGTACTGTATAGATTTTATTTCAATTAATTATATAGGTTGTACAGTATAGTTTATTTATTTATCTAGTAATACTAATTATTTATTATACTAAATGATTCCTCCTTATTTTTAACTTTATTACTAATTTTATAAAATAAGAAATTTTAAACATATAACTTTCAGTTAAATTTTGGAATAAATTTTAATTGAATTTAATTTCAATTTAACTTAATTGCCGATCTGCATGTGATCGATAGAATAAATATAGTAAATTTTGGCGTTATGTTTAATAATAAAAAAAAACTCGTCTAGAAATCTCTTTTTCCCCATAATAAATAAATATCAAAATCTCATATTACTCCAGGAAAACTTGTTGCAACTGGCAGTATTGTGCCAGAACTTCATTATGGTCCATATTTACGCGATTGGTAGATATTTTCTAAAGAAACAGCCCAAGACAAACATTATCCTATTCCTTTACGCCTAGGACTTGAAGTTATGATTCAACTTAATAATAATCCATTTATTATTCGTATAGTTCGTAATGTCCATAGTTTTTTACAGCCTGGTTATATATGTGAAGGAAGAGGACAAAGTAGTGGTATTAGTACAAGTGCTTCTGCAGCTATTACTTCTGTTTATCAATCTATCTTTGGCAGTAAAAAGAAATATGCAGGACTTTCTTATTTAGGTTTAGACCAACCTGAAACAGCTCAAAAATTATTAAAAGGAATTACATTTCGTCCTTTTATTATTGAATTAGAAAATATAACAGTTTTTGTTAGTTGTCTTGGTAAAATTACAATATCAAATACAAATAAAGTTGGACATAATTATGCGGCATCATTATTTCATAAATATAGAAGAGTACAATCAGTTTTTTATCAGCATATTGATAAAAATTTTTTTGTAATTACAATTTACCAAAACAGTCAAATTGTTGCTGAATACAAAGACATTTCACCTAATGCTGTTTGAAATAAAACTGGGGTTTTAACGTCTATTTTAGGTGATACTTTATTCGTTATAAATCATTCTATAACTTTAGATAAAATAAACCAAGCACGTCAAGAACTTGGTTCATGCCAATTACCTAATCAATGAATGCTTACAGATTGGAATAATGAGATAATAATGAAACATTTATATGAGTTGTATTTAAAAAGAAATATTAGAAGATCAGTTGAATGGCGTCAAGTGTTTCAAAATTGGATGCAACAAAAGAGTCATATTATTGAATTATATACTCATTTTTGCGAAATATATGATTTGGATTATAAATTTCAAGAAAGAGAATTACATGCATGGCGTATGATGCTTCGTGCTACAGGATGTACAAATATCACTCCGTATAATAAAGATGTTTCTTGTGTAAGTATAAATACATATTTGATGTAATTATATTGATATTAAAAAATTGTATAATTAATATTATGCATATTCTGTCTCTTATACACATCTAGATGTGTATAAGAGACAGATAAAGATGTTTCTTGTGTAAGTATAAATACATATTTGATGTAATTATATTGATATTAAAAAATTGTATAATTAATATTATGCATATTTATAGAATGAGTTTTGGACAAATGAGCCTAATCCTGAAAAAGATCGTAAAACAATTGCTAAAATATATGAAGAAGGTCTTTTGAATGTAAATTCACAAGCTAATACATTATGGAACTGTTTTCGTAATAGCTATAATGCAAATTCTAAAGGAATAGATGGAAAAATACGTATATTATAAATAATTGCTGAAAATTTTACATATAAAGAAATAATTGAGCAATTAGAAGTAATGTAAAATGCAAAATTCTGATGAAGTATAAAAAATATGCGTATAATAACTTACCTCTCACTATTATTATAGGTTTCACCTAATTCAGTTAGCATGGCACGAAAACATTCCAGAATTAATGGACCTGCTGGATGCCCCGCGTTAGAAAAACCAATTATTGTTCGTTCAAAAATGTCTGAAGTTAAAGAAAAAGAATTCCAACTGTTTTTTGCAGATAAAGCAAACGTAAATATGAGTTCCTATAAAATGGATGCAAAAACACAAATGCCGGTACTTTACCTGAAAGACCAAAAAAGTGCTCTTTGGGAAAAATTTTCTGCCAATTATCCTAATGGAATAAAACGTAATTCTTTTATGTCTAGCTTACAAAACAGCCGTTTCAAATATAGAGAAGATTTAGGAGGGTTATGTATTACATGTAATGATTATGGCTATCAACCTTTTGAAAATTTGATTGAATTGGTAACCATAAATTTTTCTAATAAAATTCAAAGGGTTAGTATTAGTTTAATTTTAATATTTTTGTTAATCTAATCATACTTACATATAATTTCATTGTAGGATCAGTTAATTCATAAATTAGAATGTTTACATCATCATTTAAAGAGAAATTATGAAAGGGAGTTATTTGTAAATGAAGATGGTACAGCAGATCATGTAGATTGTATTAATCATTGTTTATTATTTGCATTCAGAGAATGCATGCATCAACATGTTTCACGATGCCAAGAATGTGACGAGATTTTCACTTTATTTAAGGATCTTACTAATCGTCTTGATCCCATCCACCATCCTAAACTCTTAGAATATCAAGAACAACTAGTGTGTTATTTAGCACATCAAACCCGTAAAGCATATCTAAATGCTCAATTTAATTCTACCTTACGTGAATTAGATAATTATGGTGCTATTATAGTAGTTGATTACAAAATGCGGATTTTGCCTGCAACATCTCGAGAAACTAAAAGTGAATTCTTTGGGAAGCGTGGGTGGACACTCCATACCACTCTGGTGTTTCAAAAAAACAAAAATAATTATGAAGAATTAGATGTCCAAGCTTATGATCATTGGAGTGCCGATACCAAGCAAGATGCTTGGTTTACAGCGTCTTGTTTTGAATCAGTATTCACAACAATGGATCCTAAACCACTTTGGATTAAGATTATTTCAGATAATGGAGAACATTATCACAACTCTGAATTAATGACAATTATTAGTCACTGGTATGACTGGTATAATATAGAAGTCCGTGGATAGATTTTTCTTGAACCAGGGGAGGCGAAGACAACTGTTGACTCCCATCATGCAACAGTAAGTATATATTTGATTATTGTTTTTTTATATTTTTTCTGATTTTAAGTCAAATTATTACAGATAGAACATGCTATAAAAAGGTATATTAGAGTTGGATGTGATCTTACCGAAAGGGAAAATATTGAGACTGCACTTCAAGATCTAAGTGGAACATCGGTATCACATATAGAACCAAACAGAAATATAGAGATATTAGTAGATCAAGAAAATTCGGGGTAAGTGTATTTTCATTAAAACAATAAAATTTATAGAGTTATAGAACAATAGATTTATAGAATAATAATTGATTATAGAACAATAGATTTATAGTATAATAATTGATTATAGAACAATAGATTATAGAACAATATATATTTATAATTAGTTACACGCTTGTGTTTGTAATCATGCTTGCGATCAATGCTGTAAATTTTATTTTGAAATTTTTTTGTAAAAAAAAATGTTTATCAGTAATCATCAATAAAAAAATATAACAACATGAAGAAAAAAATAAGGTTATCGGTAATCATAAATAAAAAAATATAACAATGTTTAGTAAAAAAAACAATGAGGTTATCGGTAATCATAAATAAAAAATATTACACAAAAGTTAAAAAAAATAATAGGACGAACTACTTAGTCAAAACTATCTAAAAAGTATCTGATATAGTTGAAAAAATGTAAAATGAAAAATATAGGACGTTAATAAGTCCTGAAAAAATCATAAAAAAAAAATTTCAATATACATATTCTTGACCATAATAGGAATAACCAAAAATCAAAAAACACTAATGAAAAAAACCTAAAACTATACCTGGCATCTCAAAATGGTTCGAGTGGAACTGGCCAATAACAGGTCAATTTGCTGGATATATTCGTGCGCGCTCTCTTCCCCATATTGGCAAATGGAATGATTTCTCTCCTGCGCAAATTGATAATCTCTATAGTACAGTCAGACAATCTCCAACCGCCTCAGATCCAACTAAATCAAGCACCCCTTGGATAATGCCAATTCCCAAAAAAACAGGTTATATAAACTCATATTTCATTGCTAACAATCTTAAAATCATGATAAACAAATAATTATCTATTCAGATAGGAGGATAAATGAAATTAATGAAGATAAAGAAATAACAAAGGAAATCACAGCAGAAAACAATAAATCAGGTAGTAAATATACTAAAAAAAATAGTTACAACATACCAATTATACTAATACTATATATATTATGCGAAACTGTAGGGTAAATATCATTACGAATATATTTGTTTTTATTCTAGGAACGCTAAAATACTAAATAACAAAATTCATAGTCTTGATCAAGAATTTCCTCTCAGCAAAGGATGGGCCTTAAAAGAAAACCTAAAACTTGGTAATAAGGGTGGAGGAAAACGTATATCAAAAAAAGTTGTTCAGTATTTACAAGGATTTTTTTTAGCCAGAAATCTAAAAGCAGCAGATCATTATTCACCTGAAAATATGCATACCTGCTTAAAAGAATTGGCTGAAGAAGGAGAATTAACCTTGGAAGAAATACCAACAGTGAAAACTATCAAGGGGTGGATAGGAAGGTATAGTGCTAATTTCAAGAAGGAAGCATCAGAAAAAACGCTGGTAGAAAACATGGAAAATAGCCAAAGCATAACAGCTGTTGAAGGTAGTACTAGGCCTAATAAACGCCAAAAAAAAGGTTAAAAACCCTTTATTAGGTATTTTGTCAAAACAGAAATTAGCAGGCTATACCAATAAACTATTATGAAATCTTCTTTTCCCCTATATAAAACTTCATAAGCTGTGATATAATAACTTTTTTTTTTAGCGAATTTGAATTTTTAAGATCCCTGTCGCACAATAATTGTTGTAAATTACGCAATTGTATAACATATAATCATTGTTTTATTGTAATACAAATTGATGATCGACATCGTTATATATGAAAATTGCGCCACATTTTACTATGGAAATTCTATCAATCACATGCAGATCGGCAATTAATTTTAATATGATTTATATATATATATATATATATTGTGCCTCAGATCGATTCTTGCCTCAGATTGAAGTTTACACAGTTCAGGTTGAGATTGTTACCTGACACATCTTATTTGAATCATGCAATAAAGTCTGTTATAAGTAAACTTTTTTTTCTCATTAATTAAACCACTTTTTGTAACATATTCAAACCTATGTACCATAATGAGTTACATGTTTTCTGAAATTTTTATGTAAATCTGATTTATATTGAAGTTTATACTTGTGTTTTATCTGAAAAATCATTAAATTTTAAGTCATTTTCAAATGAAAAGATTTTTATGAGTATGATTCCAACTATTCTGAAATTTTAGGATTGTATACTTAAAATTATGATGAATAAATTTACTTAGTACTTAAAAATACATTAAAGTTGGAAAATTTGATGTTTAATTATAGCTCATTTTATTAGCAATTGAGGTGCACCAGGTGATCTGAGGTGTGAGCTTCAATCTGAAGCACTGAGACACAACATATATATATATATATTTTTACTTTTGAATTTTTAATTTTTTAAAATTCTGATCATTATATAAACTCAATTTCTGAAATTTATTATTACTGTATTAAACAATTAACATGTAAAATTTAATAAAAAATTTATGTAAAACTTAATAAAAAGTAATAACTTGCCATATTTTAATTAATAAAGTAAAAAATAAAAATTTATTATTATTTTAGTTAATTTTAATAAATATTAAATTTTCTATTGGCAGAATTTATGAAAAAAAAAACAAACAGATATAACAACCTACAGTATTTTATAATAAGGAAATATTATATGTAAAGTAATTATCATTGATCAATCACGACACAATTTTTATTTTATTTTATTTTTGTTTATTTTAAAATGAATTGCAAAAGTATGACAAATATAAAATATATTAATGTTTTTAAATTAAATAATTAAATTCATTATTAAAGGATCTGCCGTTAAAATACCAATTTAAAGATCTGTCAATTATAAATAATATCCGGAAATTGCGACGGTTGTATTATATAATTTTCATGTGATTATCATCAATCTGTTTGGAATAAAATAAATAAAATATGAAATTCACGAGTATTTTTTGAAATCATATGAAATCTCGGTATAGATAAATAAACGAGATTTTTATTGTAAGAATCCAAACTATATTTCAAAAATGTGGAGAGCTCTCAATAGGAAGCGCATAGGCTATGCTAGTTTTGCGGCAATTACAGGAGGAGGCTATTATCTTTATAATAAAGCTATAGTTAAAAGGCGCCCACAGCCATATCAACAACGCCTTGCTACCATTTCACCGGAACTTTTTATGTCAGAAACGTATACAGACGCGTCGAACACGATTCAACTTGAAGGTCTATCAGATAGGCCACATACTTTATGGACCCCTCCTTCAAGAAAGGAAATGTTAAATATGCTCAATAATGGTGAAAGTAAGGAACCACCTTTTGATATTTTGATTATAGGTGGTGGAGCCACTGGGTCAGGCACAGCTCTTGATGCTGCTACAAGGGGGCTGAAAGTTGCCTTAGTGGAAAGAGACGACTTTGCTTCTGGAACTTCCTCTCGGTCTACAAAACTTGTTCATGGTGGTGTTCGATATTTAGAGAAAGCCATAAAGGAATTAGATTATGAACAATTCAAGCTTGTAAAAGAGGCACTTCATGAACGTGCCACATTTTTACATATTGCGCCATATATAAGTTATCAATTGCCAATTATGTTGCCTATATACAAGTATGATTTAACGATCTTTTTTGAAAAAATTTTTTAATCGTTTAAACCGGATTGAATTCACAATAATATTACTCATTGATTAAGGTGGTGGCAAGTCCCGTATTTTTGGATTGGTTCGAAATGCTATGATATGCTTGCTGGCAGAGAAGCTGTGGAAAGTTCATACTTTCTGACACGTGGCAAAGCACTTGAAGTTTTTCCATGGTTGAATAAAGACAAGCTAGTTGCTGCAATGGTTTATTATGACGGTTCGTAAAATAATAGCTCAATTACTCAGAGTAATTGTTCTATGTTCCTAACTTCAATAAGAAATTGATATTTTTCGCTGCAGTGTCCGCGTAATCGGTAGATCATTGATGTCCATTCAACCTACCTTCATTCAGGTCAACATAACGATGCACGTATGAATGTAGCAATTGCTTTAACTGCAATTTCACTTGGTGCCGTCGTTGCTAATCATGTGGAAGTGAAAAAGTTGGCGAAAAATGAAGAAGGCAAAGTTAGTGGTGCATATGTAAAAGACACTCTAACCGGAGAAGAATGGCTAATAAGAGCAAAAGGGGTCATAAATGCTACTGGTGCATTTACAGGTAGGTTTATCCTAATTTATCATTTTTATCTTTAATGATTTCTCAGGTTATAATTATAAAATATAATGAATAAGTTTAGTCATTACAATATAATTCACTATGAATTATATTTACGTTAGATTTCAAATATATGGCAAAAGTTAACATTTAGCGCCAAAGGCGATTGAATAATAAGAAAGTTTAAACGATTCATGATTGACATTTGGAGGTGCGTCAGCTATCAACTGACGCAAATCGTCTCCTAAGGCAAGACATATACAAACAAAAAAAAATCTGATCAAATTTTTTTTTTAAAAAATTTCAGACAGTATTCGTTCAATGGATGACCCCAGAAATGAAAATATTGTTGCACCTTCTTCTGGAGTACATGTTACTTTACCCAATTATTATAGTCCCCGAAAAATGGGCATGATTGATCCATCAACGTCTGATGGAAGAGTTATTTTTTTTTTGCCTTGGGAAGGAAATACTATTGCTGGTACAACTGATTCACCTACAGAACTAACATATAACCCAATGCCGAAAGAAGAAGAAATACAATGGATATTGGACGAAATTAAGCGATATCTAAGTCCGGGTATATGTTATTTTAATAGTAATTTAAAAAATTTTCGTTTCTTCTATTTCATCAAAGTCTTTACATAATTTTATTTCAATTGTAGATATTAAGGTTCGTCGGGGTGATGTTTTAGCTGCATGGTCGGGAATAAGACCTTTAGTACGCGATCCTTATGCAAAAAACACTTCAGAGTTAGTACGAAGTCACATGATTTACGTTAGTAATTCTAATTTAATTACTATTGCTGGTGGTAAATGGACAACTTATCGCGCCATGGCTAAAGAAACGGTTGACAAAGCTATTGAGATATTGGGTAAGCAAATATATATAATATATGATATTTGTTTGTTTGTTTCCTTTTTTATTTTTGTAACTATAATACCGAAACTCTCATTTTCATGTGTTGTGAAGGATTAAAGCCTCAAAACGAGTGTCTTACAGAAAAAGCTAGACTTATTGGCTCGCATGGGTATTCAAAAACTATGTTTATTAAGCTTATTCAGCAATTTGGATTGGAAACTGAAGTAAGTTTCATGTTACAATGTAAATAAATAATTAAGTTTGAAATTATAATATTTCTTGCTTTATATAGACCGCTCAACATTTAGTGAATAGCTATGGGGATCGCGCTTGGGCAGTTGCCGCATTATCTAAACCTACAGGCAAACGATGGCCAGTATTTGGTCAACGGATAAGTCCTTTTTATCCATATATTGAAGCTGAAGTACGCTATGCTGTTCGTCGAGAATATGCTTGTACTCTAGTGGTATGTAATTTTAATTATGTTTAAATTATTGATTTAAATTAGTTTAAGGTTAAATTCTATTATGGCGATACTTTTAGGATGTTATTGCACGTCGTACAAGATTATCTTTTCTTAATGCTCAAGCAACTCTTGAATCTCTACCTCGAATTATTGAAATAATGAGTGAAGAACTTGAATGGTCTTCTGAACGACAAACTCAAGAATTTGATAAAGCTGTTGAATTTTTGTTCACTATGGGATTACCTAAACCAAAAGAAAAATTAACTATAAACAAAGTTCGAATTGAATCCTCAAAACGTTCAGAAAATGGAGTTCTTTATTCTCGTTCACAATTTCAGCCAGAAGAATTGGCTAGTTTTCAAAAGGTCTTTTCAGATTTGGATATTTCAGGTGATGGACGTATAATGACAAGCGATTTAGAAAAAGCTTTAGTATTAGTAGAATATTCTATCCCTAAAAATACGTTAAATTCAATTATTTCTGAAGCAAAATTTGATAGAGAAGATTCCATTGAATTTGAAGAATTTTTGGAATTTATGAGTGATGTAAAAGAGGCACAACTTAAGCATGCATTTCCCGAGATAGTTGATTATCAAATAGGCAAGCATGAACAAAAGAGAATTCCAATTGAAAGATCATCTGGCGGTGTATAGATTTAATGACATTATTAATTTCTTCGAAGTTGTTTATGTTGCAGATGAAAATTAATTTTATTCCATTTATTATTATATATCTTATAAATTACACTATATTTTTTTTATCTATTAAATTGCTATAATTACTATGCTAATAATTAAATGGTTATCTTTTTTTTTGTGGAATTACAAAAGTAAATATCACTTAATTACTGTGGTCCGAGTTATCGGATTAATTTATGGGAAATTTTGCGATCCACTTAAAAATATAACAATAAATTATTTATTAGCTAAAAAATGCTTGTTAATTTCAACTTATTGTAGCATCACAGTATCACAGTATCAATTATAAAAAAAAAATCTTAGACGCATCATTGCTGATCAATCTAATTGATAAAAATGATAACCATAGCCGATCAAGAAATTTTTTTTCCCTCGGAAAATTAAATGACAACTACAGAAGAAAAACATTCAATAGCTTCTTTGAATACAAACCAAAACATTTTTGGTTCAAATTCTTCATTATGTAGTAAAACCACATTATTTGTTCGTAGGATACCATATGATGCTATAAACAGTGAATTTGAAGAATTCTTTTCAAGTATGGGGCCTCTTAGATCCTGCTTCCTCGTTAAAGATAAGGAAGAAACTAACAATGCTTTAATAAGCAATTCTATTAGCGACGATTCGATTTTTCCTTCCATTAGTAGTGAAAAAATAACTTTCACTAAAGGAATGATTCCAGTGGTTAAGAATACAGAAAAAAATAAAGGTTTTGGTTTTGTTCAATTTGTTTTGGCTCAAGATGCCGAAAAAGCTTTAAAAGAATTAAAAAAAGTTAAGTTTAGAGGTAAAGGTACTTTGAAAATGGAATATGCTACTAAAAAACATGAAAAACCTCCTGAAGCTATTCAAAAAATTATTAAAAGAAAATCTTCTCCACAAGATGATAATAATAAAAGAAAATTAATAAAAATGGAATTCATTGAAAAAGATAGTGATAGAACCATTGTATTACAGGATTTACCTAAAAATTTGACTAGGAAAAAAATTTATAAAAAAATTAGGAAATTTGGTTACGTTCAAGATATGAAATTTCCTAACGGTGAAAATTCTACTGATATTGGTAAGTCTGCTTATATTTAATATTTAATTTAAAGGAAAAGACGTATTAAAGTTAAATTTATTTTCTTTCTTTCTTTTTATATTTATATATAGTACACGTTATTTTTAAATCAGTCAAAGATGCTAATGATGCATTATTGCATTTGGATGGTCACACTTTCCATGGATTAACGATGAGCGCAAAATTATTGTCAAAGGCAAATGACAAAAAAGGTCGCTTGATAGTTCGCAACATTCCATGGCAGGTATGTATGTAACACTGATTTAAAGACTGTAATTTACCTGTAATTTACTCTTTAACTAAAATTTATAATAGTATCGCGAACAAGAACTTTTAAAAATTTTTTCCAGATATGGTGAAGTAATAGAAGTAAATTTGCCACGTAAATTCATAGGGGGTCCTTTACGTGGATTTGCGTATATACAATATACTAATCCCAAATATGCAGAGAAGGTATCATTTTTTATATATAATGTGAAATCTTTATTACTTTAAAAAAATATATTGATTTATATTTTTTGTAGGCGATTGGTGAACTGAATGAAACGAAACATCATGGACGTACTATAGCTGTGGATTGGGCATTACCAAAAGACAAGTATTTGGAAGCTATTGGATCACGGCAAATAGGGAAACTTGATGAAGAGAGAATGCAAAATAATGATTCTGAAGAAAAGGGAATGGGTAATGATCAGGAAGAAGACAACGATGTTGAAGATGAAATGGAGCAGGATGAGGATGAACAAGAGGAAGATAATATTATAAATGAAGGCGATGATGAGTTGCAGTATGAGAAACAAGAGGTAGATGATGATATGAACTACACAAATGTGTCAGATAATGTTAGCTCTGTTACTGAAAATAAAATTCCTGGTGAAGTTAATGATAAGGAAAAATCAAGCGAGGACGAGAGCGATGTTATAGAAACCCATAACGAAGTACCAAAGATGATGTATCCGCTTTCTAAAGGAACTGTATTATTCATTCGGAATCTATCTTTCGATGCCACAGATGAAGAACTCTCTAATATGTAATATCATATTTGTTAGCTTGATATTTCTGCAAAATAGATGATATTAATAATATTATTATGTCCTTTTACATCTTTTACATCTTTTACATCTTTTACATTAGATTTAGACCATTTGGACCATTACGTTATTGTGTAATAACGATAGATCATCAAACAGGACGTTCACGTGGCACAGGATTTGTTTGTTTCAAACAAAAAGAACACGCGGAAGCATGTTTAGACGAAGCAAGAAAATCAAATCAAGAAATGTTTAGTGAATGGGAAGTGAATAATAAGAAAAAGAAACGAAAAGAAATAATATTTAAATCGATTCTTACAGCAGATCCATCAGATTCATTAGCTAACAAATTTACATTACACGGAAGAGTATTATCAATAGTTAAGGCTGTTGATAGAAACGAAGCGGATAAATTAACGAAAATGAATCAACAAAGAAAGCGCAAAGAAGACAAAAGAAATGTTTATTTGATGCAAGAAGGAGTGATCTTTCCAAATACAAAAGCAGCTAAATTATTAACTCCATCAGAAGTTAACAAATTTGTTGCATCATATTCTATGAGAAAGAATTTATTAGCAAAAAATCCGAATCTTTATATTTCAAAAACTAGATTATCGATAAGAAATTTACCACTAACAATAGATGAAAATAAATTAAGAATTTTAGGAAAAGAAAGCATTAAAAAGTTTAAAGAGGAGGTTGAAAGTAAAGAAAGGAAGGATTTGACTGAAAATGAGAAAATAGGATGGAATAAAAAAGTAGTTATTAAGCAGGCTAAAATAGTTAGAGCCAAGGATAGAATAGATACAGTAACGCAGAAACCACGCAGTAAAGGATATGGATTTTTGGAATTCGCGCAGCATGCACATGCATTAGCAGCGTTAAGATATCTTAATAATAATCCAGAATTATTCGGGGAGAAGAAAAGATTAATTGTAGAATTTGCAGTAGAAAATTTTATTATTGTCAAAAAGAGATTAGCAAGATTAGGCAATAATAAAAAATGACGTTAAATAAGACAATACTAAGAAGAGAAAGGTTAGTGTATAAATATTTTATTAGTAATAAATAATAATGATTTACTACTTAAATATTTATTATCTAATTTTATTCTAGACATGATAATAAATTTAGTAAAATTCTGTATTTTCATGAATCAGTGAATATTATACAATATGGCGACATGTATCTTCTCTATTGATTAATAATAATCTCATAATAATACTAATACATTAGAAAATCAATGGTAATAGAGGAAAAAAAAAAATTTTTTTTTGTGTCTGAAACTAAAAGTAAAAAAGCCTAATCATTTAATTAATTATGTATCTAAACATTCCCGAATATAATCTTTTGGAATGTGAGAATCGACTAAGGTTAAAAACGCTTTTAGAGTACATAAAGATTTATCTTTAGGGTGATGTTTATCATCATTTTGACAGGCAGGCAATTCTAAAATTTTATCGTTATATCTTACACGAACATAATGATTATCTTGAGCAGAAGAAAATTCTTCCTTGGATTCAAATAATTCTAATATAAGATGTGAATTGAATTTTGGCCATCTATGATCAAATGCATTGAATGTTGCTATTAAAGGAGCTAATGTTGAATCATGTCCACTGTATATTGCAAATTTTAAATCTTCTGCTTCGGGTATATTGTTTACTTTTGAGAGAATAATATCACGTAAATCAGCAATGAATGGACCTATTGCTAATCTTCTCATTTCTAATGTTTCATAAAATCTTTTTATATAAACTAGATATTAGTGCACAGTACTTGCCGGAATTGAGAAATTATTCTTGCCAACTTACCCATTAAACCATTCACCAGTGGATATTTCATCGATTTTATCTATAACTTCTTCAGTGAATTCTTTCGGAATAGGAATTTTATTTGCTTTTGCTAGAAAATTAAAAGGTTGTAATAATAAAAAACTCTAGAGAATTGACGTCCAATATTCTACTTACCTGCAGTTACAGTATCAAATATTTCGTTTAAAGAAGGCTTAGAATCAAGCTTAACTTCGTTTACAATAGGTTTTAATTGAGTAGTTAAATATTTTAAATCGGATTCATAACGTAATTTTGAAGCCTCCCCAAATTGCTTAATCAGTGTCATTAAGCGCTTACATTTACTATTTTGATGTAAAGTTTCTTTATAAAAGGCTCTATTTATATAAGAATGTTAGATATTAATATTTTATTACTAAGATCATATATTAATATATTAATAAATAAATACCTAGTATGAATTTTTAAAACGTACGAATTGGATCTGTATTGGGATGGATATAATCCGCCAATAACTAGCTGCTGCAATGATTCGAATGTTCTTGCATAGTTGGTTGAACGTAAATAAAGTAATTTATCGTTTGATAATTTTTCATCCAAAAATTTTAATTTGTCTACATATAATGTTCGAAAGTGAGCACCTAACTCAGTCATTGACCTACGCCCAATATCTGTTAACTACTCGAGCCAAAATTTTATTTAAAAATTTTAAATCTTAAATACTATTTATATACTCATATTATATATTCTATATTTTTATTATTATTTATTATTACCTGTCCAAACGCGCATGTTCCGGGAGAGGGAAAAGAATGAGAGTCAATACGTCTATAAGTAAATTGCTCGTACCCTAATTTTAAATTATCTTGATTATTTTTGTCCTCTTGAAATAATAAAATACTCGATTGAAATTCTTTTGCTTCGTGACATAAATTCCACAATGGGGGTATAACATGTTCTAGGAATGGTTTAACTGGCGTACGTTCACCTAAGTAATAATAAATAAAATAAAAATAAAATTTTTTACATAAATGTCACTTTTTAATTATACCGTGTCTATGAATCACTTGAACCAATTTCAATTGTAAATGATCTGGATAATAAAATCGGATTTTCTCATCGTCGTATGACGGAGGCATTGTTACAATAAAAATTTTTTTTTGATTGCCTTATATAATTTAAATAATAACAATTGAATTTTTTTTCTATTGTCATGTTTTAAAATGTAATTTACTATCACATAATAATTTAGCTTTTTTTTTAGTGATACATAATTTTCAGGAGTTAAAAAAAGCATCGCAGGTCGTTTTTTATTTAGGTTTAAAACAAATAATTTTTAATAAATTTCATTGGCGATACTGAGTCGATTACAAATTGTTCACGTTATCATTCTTTCAACATGGAAATTACAAAAGAACGACGTGTAAACAAAGTAAATAATACGTTCAATGATTTCTTGGAAACTACGTACAGACCAAGGCAAATATAAAAATATAAATTAATTTATTTTAAATTATGGTCTTTTTACTTAAAAACCGACTTTATAATCTAGAACATGGGTAATTCAAAAAATTGAATCGATGATTGAAAGATTATTGTTTGATATTGCAAAGAAACGTCCACCAGTAATTAATTCGGTATCGAATATCAAACGAAAAGAGAATCATTCCAGGTAGTCTAAATATTTGTGCGAAAAAATAATTTCTTCAGCTAAAAATTTTCATGATATACCGTAGATATGACGCACAAAATGGCATTATACGAAGAAAAAACAATAATCTTTCTAATAAACAAATACAGTTTTTATCAACAAAAAATCCCAAAACATTTGTTATTATGATTCGTATTCTTGATATTTGCCATGAACTTTTAATTCAAAATGTAACTGCTACTAAACGTGACATTTATTATAAAGATGTCAAATTATTTGGTAACTCACAAACTGTTGATCTGGTAAGATCAAACAATGCTTAAATTTACAAATCGAAAAAAATTTACATATCTTTTCACTTAGGTAATAGATGAATTGGCATGTTTTTTTCAAATACCAAGATCCTGTTTAAATGTGGTAAGCAACTTGTAATTTGTTACGTATATGATAATTTATGTGAATTAAAATTTTTCTATTCATAAGATTGCTTCCGCCAAAGGATTAGTCGCTGGTTCATTAAAAATAATTCAAAAAGATAGGTCTATATTAGATTGCTCAAAAACGAGTTGTCAGGTAATTCAGTAAAATTACTTTATTTAATTTAACGAAAATTTTTTTTTACGTGTTCTCTTTTTTATAAGGGAACGCTTATACCAACTATGGATCTAATTGATAATATCCTTTAAGTGTCATAACATTTTATTAATTAAAATAAAAAATTTCCCTTAATAATTCAAACGAATTGAGACCAATGCTGAATTCGTCTTGGTCATAGAAAAAGAAGTATAACATACTTTTGTTTATTATACTCATTTTTTTTTCTTTCGATTTTATTCAAAATTTATATCATTTTTAATATAATTAGGCAACATTTCAATACATTTTATCGAGCAAAATGCACGAGCAATTTGGACCTTGCATCTTAATTACAGTGTGTAAAATTGATCATATGTATATCATTTATTTTTATTTTTCAAATTAAATTAATCTTGTATTTTTTTATTAAAGGGAAAAGGGTATCCGGTTTGTATCATTTTATGAGTTTGATATATTAAGCATTGTAACAATTTTTATCGCAGTAAATTAGGATATAGCCACTCGTCAATTAGTTAAAAATTTAAGTGATTTACGTCGACCAGATGAAACGTATCCATTTCTACAAATATTAGGATTCTTTGACAATGATCCATACGGTGAATGACATTCATTTTGATTTTGTGAATTTCTGTTTTTTTTTCTTAAAATTAAAAATGAATTTCGTTTTTTCGTTATTAGGAATAGAAATTCTTTGCGTTTATAAATTCGGATCATTGGTAATATAAAAATCGGATCTTCTGTAAATTATTAAATGGAAAATAATTCACATATAATATACATAATGTAGACCATGTCATTTGACAATGAAAATTTGGCAACGCCTGGTATAAAATGGCTCGGGTTACACTGTTCAGACTGGAAAAAGTAAAGTACAAAGTTCTTGTCAAACTGGTCAGTTGTAACTATATTGCTAAAACTCTATATATAGGTATAGGATTTCAAAGAGTTCTTTAATAAGGATATCTTCCGCCGACAGAAAAAAAGCATATCATTTGTTACAACGCAATTATCTTCAAGCCGAATGGAAGTAAGCTATTATCGTTATGTTCATTACGAGATTTACCATTGTTTAATTACTAAAGTTAATATTGTTTTTTTAGAAAAGAAATTTGCCTAATATTGTATATGGGATATAAAGCTGAAATACAAAGTTTGGACGATTGTGAAAATGTGAATTTACTAAATTACCTAATATCCAAAATAAGTCGTAGCCGTTTTTAAATTTAACTGTATATTACGAAATTTCTTTTAAAAATCACTTTGTAAATATCACATTAATCTTATTTTAAATAATCGGAAATTACACAAATTATACCAAACTGGACGATTTAATCTAGACTATAAAAAAAGCTTCTAGACTTGGTATAGATAGACAAAATGATATCATAAATACGTTAGTGTTACTTACATAAATAAAAGATTGTCTTATGACTCTTAAATATTTGGCTAATTGTTTTAGTTTAATTTGTGTGACAACTTCGAAAAACATGCGTTTATGTAATATGTATGTGTAGCAAATAAATTAGATACGGCACCCATCCGAATAAATCATTCATTGTGATGGGAATTTATTTGAATTTTTATTATACATGTATCAGATAAAAAAATAACCATTGTAAGAAAAAAAGAAATAGTCAAAAAAAATTTATAAAAAAATTGAATTTACAGCATAAAAAAAAACAAATTTATACAACTAAAAATTTCATATTCTAAGTAGTTTAAGCTTTTTTTTTGCTAAATAATCTTATAAACTTACAAACCTTCAATCAAATGGATATTGAATAAATAAAAAATTTAATTAAATAAAATATCATACAATAATGTTTTTGTTGAATTACTCAAAACTTGCACAATGTTATATCTTCGAGCTTATGGAGCTTATGGTATCCTATATAAACATTTGAATGTGAATGTTAGAATAGAAATGTTACATCTGTTATTGAATGGGAGGCATTCATTTACATACATTGCGTCCATCAGGGATAGATATTTCTTCTATAGGATTTTTTACAGGAAATTTATTTATAGTGGCAATGAGATCGTTCATTCCTAATAACATTTTACATAAATAAAAAATAAATTTACAGATCAATAAACTTTTACGTTAAATTAATAAAAATATAGATGATGACATACTTAATGGTTTCGTAACATATTCATCCATTCCTGCAAAAAGACATTTCTCTCGATCTCCTATCATTGCGTGAGCCGTTAAAGCAATTATAGGAACATGACCACCGGTTTCTTGTTCAAATTCTCGTATCTTTTGTGTGGCTTCAAATCCACCCATTATAGGCATTTGTACATCCATCAATATCTAATTAACAACCAGGGAACGTTAGTAATTTTTTTTTTTAATAACAAATATCGATATTATATGTAAGACTCACAAGATCATATCGTTTAGCTTTAAAAGCCTCAACGGCCAATTGTCCATTTGATACTATTTCAACTCTATGGCCAAATTTCTCTAATATTTTAACCGCTAATTTTTGATTCACAATATTATCTTCGGCCATTAAAATATCTAATGGTTGTTGCCTTGCAAAATCACTTGGAACCGCAGCATGAGACTCAAGTGCTGGCAATAAAGCATTCATTAAATCAGGTAAATTCGATGGCGTACTACTATATGATGTGATACCAAGATCAATACAATTTTTCATATTTAAGTTAGGTATCTCTGGAGCTAAAAGAACTATGGGGATGTATCTTAAATGTGTAATCTCTCTTAATCTTTCAACAATGCTTAAATCATCAACAATTACTGTGTCGAACAAGGGTGTATCTGATTTTCGAGAAGCTGTTATAAGTGCGGCCTCCTCTACAGAACAAGCAATTTTTGGTCTAAGGCTTAATTCTTCAATTATACTGACAACACCCGTTTTATCATGCATTGTATCAATAAATAAGACATGCCGACCATGCCAAGGATTCATTTTTTGTTCTATTGTTTCTCGGCTCATTGTACCCAAAGTTACTTTAACTGTAAAGTAGAATTCAGATCCATGTCCGTATACGCTCTTTACCCATAAATCACCACCCATTAAAGACACAAGACGTTTTGATATTGAAAGACCTAAACCAGTACCACCATATTTTCTTGTTGTTGAACCATCAGCCTGACAAAAAGTATCAAATATCATATCAATCTTGTCTTCCTGAATACCTATACCAGTATCACTAACGCAAAATTCCAAAATTACTCGATCATCCTCGATTAATTGTGTGTGTACTGAAAGAACAACTTCACCTTCAGTGGTAAACTTGATGGCATTTCCGATCAGATTTGTTATTACTTGTCTTAAACGTAATGGATCACCGATAAGTTGATCAGGTATTCCATTATCTACATCATAAATTAAATCTAACTTCTTTTGATTTGCTTTAACCGCAAGTGTTTTAAGTACTCCAAATACGGCTGATCGTAGTGAAAAAGGAATTTGTTCAATAGTCATACGACCGGCTTCAACTATATTTAATGAATTTAAACATCAAATAAATTTTTAAGTTTCACTATTAAATAAAATAACGATAGATACAAATTGCTCGCTTAACTTACTTTTTGAGATGTCTAAAATATCATCGATAATTGTCAACAAAGAGTTGGCTAATGTACTTACAATCATCAGATTTTCGCGTTGCTGTCTTGTCAATTCGGTTTCTAGGGTTAACGTAGTCATTCCAATAATGCCATTCATAGGTGTACGAATCTGTATTCAAAAATTGATCAAATTACAAAATGTGCCTTGTTATTTAAAAAAAGTAAAAAAAGTAAAACAAATAATAAAATACCTCATGTGACATATTAGCTAGAAATTCACTTTTACTTCTATTAGCTAATTCTGCAGCTTCTCTTGCAGCTGTATTCTTTTGAATACTTTCTCTTAAGTTATAAACCATTTGATTGATTTTTGTTTTAAGGGAATCCATTTCACCCGAAGCATCAACAGTAATATACTGTGTGAAATCGCCATCCGTTGCCGCAGCGGATATTTGAGCAAATGCACGGACCTGCGAAGTTAAGTTGGAAGCCATAGTATTGACGTTAGATGTAATTTCTTTCCATGTACCTTTAACATCTTTTACTTGTGCTTGGACTCCAAGTTTTCCCTCTGTACCAACTTCACGAGCTACACGTGTTACTTCAGCAGCAAAGGTAGACAACTAATACAGTTTTGTTATAATTTCGATATCAAAAAAAACATTTATATTCAATTTTTTTTTTTAGCTAATAAATTTAATCCATAAAGATAAACATATAATTACCTGATCTACCATAGTATTTATAGTATTCTTCAAATCCAAGATTTCTCCTTTGACATTCACTGTAATTTTCTTGCTGAGATCACCACAAGCCACGCTCTTACAGACATTTGCAATATCACGTACTTGTGCCGTAAGGTTAGACGCCATGGTGTTGACATTATCCGTTAATTCCTTCCATGTACCACCAACGTCTTTGACATGCGCTTGGACTCCAAGTATACCTTCTGTACCTACTTCACGTGCTACACGTGTTACTTCTGCAGCAAACATACGAAGTTGGTCAACCATGGAATTTACTGTATCTTTTAATTCAAGTATTTCGCCTTTGACATCTACACTGATCTTTTTGCTCAAATCACCGCAAGCTACAGCGGTCGTGACCTCGGCTATAGACCGTACTTGCGTGGTTAAATTAGCTGCCATAATATTTACATTATCCGTTAGTACTTTCCACGTGCCTTCCACATCTTTAACAACAGCTTGGCCTCCAAGTTTTCCTTCGGTTCCCACCTCTAAAGATACTCGTGTTACTTCCGTAGCGAAAGTTTGTAGTTGATCTACCATAGTATTTATTGTATTTTTAAGATCCCATATCTCTCCTTTTACGTCAACTGTTATTTTTTTACTTAGGTCACCGCGTGCTACTGCTTTTGATACATTTGCAATATCACGGACCTGAGCCGTGAGATTTGCGGCCATAGTATTGACATTGTCTGTTAGTTCTTTCCAAGTACCACCAACATCCTTTACTACGGCTTGTCCTCCTAATTTACCTTCTGTACCTACTTCTCTTGCTACTCTTGTTACCTCTGCTGCGAATGTTCTTAATTGTTCCACCATAGAATTTACAGTATTTTTTAAATCAAGTATCTCACCCTTAACATCTACAATAATTTTTTTGCTTAAATCGCCTTTGGCTACAGCGGTAGTGACCTCGGCAATCGATCTTACTTGAGTTGTAAGGTTTGCAGCCATTATATTCACGTTGTCAGTAAGCTCCTTCCATGTTCCACCTACATCTTTAACTACAGCTTGGCCACCTAATTTCCCTTCAGTTCCTACTTCCAAAGAAACACGAGTAACTTCAATAGCAAATGTCTGCAATTGATCTACCATAGTATTGATGGTGTTTTTCAGATCTAAAATTTCTCCCTTTACATCCACAGTAATTTTTTTACTTAAATCACCACGAGCTACAGCTTTTGATACATTTGCAATATCACGGACCTGAGCCGTGAGATTTGCGGCCATAGTATTGACATTGTCCGTAAGAATCTTCCACGTTCCATCGACTCCTTGAACTTCAGCCTGACCACCAAGCATACCCTCAGTACCGACCTCACGAGCAACACGTGTGACCTCGGCTGCGAACATACGCAATTGTTCAACCTAAGAATAAGATAGTTAGTAAAATTACAAACCAAACACAATCTACTTATTATAAGTATAAAAATAAGTACCATAGTGTTGATTGTTACTTTAAGTTCCAAGATTTCACCTTGTACAGGTACGGTAACTTTTCTTGATAAATCGCCACAAGCAACAGCTTTACATACTGTAGCAATATCACGCACTTGATTAGTAAGATTTGATGCCATAAGATTTACATTGTCGGTCAAATCTTTCCAAATACCGCCAACATCTTTAATATTCGCTTGGCCACCTAATTTCCCTTCTGTACCGACTTCAAGCGATACTCGGGTAACTTCAGTAGCAAAGGTTTGTAGCTGTTATTGAATGGATGAAAATAAAAAATTAAAAATTAAAAATTAAAAATTACAGTGTGATTAATCTTCAAACCCTTTAAAAAGGATCTCAACTAAGTTAGTTAATTTAAAATATCTTACCTGATCCACCATAGTATTTATCGTATTTTTAAGGTCTAAAATTTCTCCTTTGACATCAACAGTAATCTTTTTGCTAAGATCACCTCTAGCAACAGATTTAGATACATCAGCAATATCACGGACTTGAGCGGTAAGATTGGCAGCCATTGTATTGACATTATCAGTTAATAGTTTCCACGTTCCGCCAACACCTTGGACTTGGGCTTGTACGCCCAATTTACCTTCAGTACCAACTTCATGAGCAACGCGAGTGACTTCCGAAGCGAATGAATTTAGCTGGTCAACTGCAAAATATATGTATGTATATATGATAAGTATAAGACCAATTCTAAAAATGTATATATTTTTTAGAAATACTTACCCATAGTATTAATAGTATTTTTCAAAACAAGAGTTTCTCCTTTTACTTCAACAGTAATCTTTTTACTAAGGTCACCGTGAGCGACAGCTGTACATACTTCCGCAATATCTCTCACTTGTTTTGAATGGTTACTAGCCATCATGTTCAAATGGACCATCATATCCCTGAAATCACCTTCTAAATTTTCACTTTTAGATTGTACACCTAGTTTCCCTTCTTCGCCAACCTCGCGAGCAACATGAATAAGTTCAATAGATACTCTGTCAATTTTGTCGACCATGGTATTAATCGCGTTTCTTAGTGTTAGCATTGGGCCGGATGCAACGGGACAAATAACTCGTTTTTTAAAATCGCCACTAGTAACAGCCAAAGCAACGTTTGTGCATTGATCCAGACATTCCAGACAAACTCGATCACCATGTTCCAAGGAGGGTGGTGTATTAGGAGAACTGTCTGAATTTGAGTCGTGAATCTGATTATTTATATGATTACTATTGATTTGATTGGTTTGACATTTATCAGAAGGTGGAGCTAATATAGCGGTTTCATTAGATTGTTTCACTTGGAGACAATCTTCATTATTAGTAGCGGGCAAAGAACTGTCTTTAATAATGACTACAGAATCATTTTCATTCAATAGTGATTGGTAACGAGCGACCTCCTCTTCCAGGTAAATATGTTTTTCTAGTAGTTTTCTTAAAACAGAATCAAATTGTTCAATTTGTTCATTACGTTGTCCTTGATAACGCACTGTCTTGCAATATTCCACATTGCCATCATTAATGTTTTGAAGGACGTCGGTAACGTATCCGAGAACGTCCGTCATGTATGATTATTGGATAGCGGTTAATGTCTTATCTATTTTATATCTAATTTTGTACTTTCTAATAAATAGTTTAACAGCTTGTAGCTGGAAGTTTGAATGAATTAACTATAATTGCACCAAAGAGTACACGAAACGTGAAAAAAAATATTAAAACATATATGTAAAAAATATAAATAATATATAAAAGTAGATGTATTTTATGACAAATACCTAAATAACAAATTTGAGATGAAAAAGCGAATTTCTCTTAGAGAGTAAATAAGTTAACCACCCAAGAACTGGAGGGTGAAAGTTTCTTAACGGAACGGGGAAAAAAAAAAATTTTTTTAAAATTCAGTAAGTCAACATGTACAGTATGGTGATATATGTGTAAGGTGTAAAGCTTGCGTTATATATAATCGAAGCAAAATAAGGTTATTTCTAGGTTATTTATCACTATCACATAGAGTATCACGCATGAACCTTTTAAGTTTCTGAATTATCACAATAATATCAAATATGATCATATAGTTAAGCTTGAACATCTAGAATTCCAAAAAAAGTTTATACAGCCAAAGACACCAGATAATTATAGTTAAGGTCATATGCTCTGCTAAAAATTGATTGGGTATATGACTTCCTATTATCTATAGCTATTGTTAAAACAATGCTTAATATTTTTATATATAGAGATGGTGAAAAAGTCGAGATCTATGGTAAAAAGTTACATTTTTCATATGCCGTTTAATTCCCTAATATTTGGCAATTATCCGCAGCCAGTTCACAGCTCACGTGATATGTAAAATCCACATGACATATAACAAAAGAATTCACATTTCAAAAAGTCCGTTATATTAATATATATATATATATACAAACTATAGTTGATAATACAAGTAATACATTTAACAAAGTAGAATTTTCACTAATAAAAACAGGGATGTATAATAATAATATAATGAGTAATATGATAATAAGAGAGAGAAAGGAATAACAACTAGTATCTACAAGTTTACAACAAATATATATACAAATTAAATCATAGCAAGAGAAATATACAAATAAAAGTTGATATCGAAAAAGCAATTGTCCAAACATAGAAAAATAGGAAAAGCTAAATGAAGGAGTAATGTAAAATGCAATAAAAACGTGACAAAATCGCGTACGTTATCCTCTAAATAAATAATTATTTACAAAAAAAAATGTTCAACAACATTTATTCTTACACTATTAAGCCTGAATAAATAAAATAAAACACCATATAATTTACCAATAACGAACGACACGGTATCGACATCCAACAAACTGAAATTCACGATTACCCATAATAAAATTTCTGGGCCAAGTGTTGTGAGTTTGATCTTTTTGTAGAGGACGTGTACCATTATCTTGCGATAATTGTTGTAAAGCAACAGTAGCACTAATTGCTTCATAAAGGTCATGTTCAGTTAAAGGCGATGGTGTTTGTTGAGGAGATGTAGGATAAACAGTTGGAGGAGGATACGGAGCGTAAGAATCTATATGTGAGTGATAGGAACTTTTTTTTTGGATAATAGTGCTACCGGAAGATTTAAACGAATGTAAAATTTCGTTGTAATGGTCTTTAAACGTTGATTCGACAGCATTGGTAGGTGAGTATTGATACTTTAGATCATTATGTTGAGATGAACTAGAATAAGCTGAATCTGAACCACGACGACCGATAGTTAAGGTGTTCGGATCACATTCAGATGATGAATTTTCATCATCACCAAGACTACCATTCTCTGAGGATTGCTGCCTTCTTCGCTTGGACAATAGCTGATTTTCTATCATATTCTCAGCAAAATGTAGGTCCTCGGCTGTTCTCTTTTGTTTGCGCAAAATAACTAAATGACTATTGTTCTCTGCATTTTGAAATTTGGAGAATTGTATGGATTGATTAACTGCGGAGAAATCATTATGAATTCCGCACTTTACATCATTAATATTACCACCACTATTCTCTTCAATTGGTGGTGACATAATTATACTAGCTTTTATACCCTTGTCTTTATTATTATTCGTGACAGAAATATTGTCTACGCGTGTGTCCTTTGGTTTGCGTCTTTGCCGTTTCTTAGTTGGTACTGAGTCAGTGAGGGTCAAGCGGCCAAATCCAGGCTGTGTCGGATCCAGTGCTTGCGAAGGGAACAAGGGTCCAAACAAAGGAACGAGTTCTTCGCGAACAGCATAGCATGTCCGACGACAGAGCTCATATGCTTTTTCATATGGCATCCTTAAAATATTAAGAAAATAACAGCATTAAAAATATATTTATGATGCATTTAACTAATAATCAAGTAAATAATCAAAATGATGTAAAATAACATCCATAAGTTAAAAAAAAATATATTCAACGAACCAAGTTCCTTGGATTTTAAGAAATCCTCCTCTAACTTTCTTGATAGTTGATGCTAAATCCGGATGAGTATCCACTAATCTAGCAATATCGGCTTTATTATTACCGAGGGCTTTCCATATTCCAGTAAAATGAACGTATCCATTCTCTCGATCCCACATAATTGGTTGATCATTAATAGTGAATTCATATACTGATCATATAAAATAATAGATTAGTAACTCAGCATTTAAAGAAACTAATGGCATCATTAATGTTAATTACCAGGAATGTAACCTCGAGGATCCAAAGAAGTAGAATATTTTGTTCTCTTGATTTTGATATTAGTAACAGTATATGGACGGTAAGCCTCCGGTTCATTCTTGATCCCATCGTCGTCGTCGGAGACTTGTTGTTTAATAGTCCTTTTCTTTATCATAGCAGACTTGTGTCTCTGGCCTAATATAAGCGGTAAATTCTCGGTAACAGTTGTCTTTTGGCCAGTAGCACTTGTTTCGGGGAACGTTTTTAAAGTCGTAATTAGCTGAGACATAAGATAAATGATTGTTCAAAAAGGTTATATTGTGAAACTAATTATGATAATTGCTCAAAGGGTTGATTCCTTGAGCAATGAATTTAAGGAGAAGAATTGGACAGAAAGTCTAGCAAATTTAGGTTAGATCAAGAACAGCCAAAGATTTTATGGTTGTAAAATTTAAATAAAAAAAAAGAATGTCCGAAAACCCGAATTCCGTGTTAGAATACAAGAAGAGTTAAATCGTAAGTGAAGGTAAAGTGGAGAAAAAAATTTTACTAGTATAAAATTACAGAATTTTTGAAACGGCTTGTTTAAGGAGGGTGTAGTGGAATAGTTGGCGAATAATCGTACAAGATCGTGAATAGAAGAGAAGCAACAAAGAATGAAGCTCAAGGTAAGCAGAGGAAAGGATATATGAAAGAAAAGGGTAAAGAAAGGCGCGGACGGACTTAAAACTGAGGACCGAGGACAGTTTCCATAGAAGGAGTATTGGTAACCCTGAGAAAATTTTAGCCTCACACGACTATAATGTTCCCGCAGTAGATTACCGTACTACCAAAGTTGTGATGAATACCCTTTCCCCCAGATTCTCGGACAAACACTTTGAATATACAGTATTATTGTAAATTTAATATAATTTATTTATTTATTTTATTTGTATACGGACCATTATAAAACAATGATGTAACGGAAATCGGGAGGGAAAAACAGAACCACAGCGAATTTTAAACTATCTCTTTTAAGGTATAAATTGATATCAAGACATTTTGTAGTACAATAAATAATGAATTTGGACACGTCCTCGTGACAATTTTACACCAACCTATTTGGCCAGAATTAAAGAAAATTTTGGCAAGTATTATGTCTGTCTCTTGAACAACGATCCATGCATATACTTATATACTTGTAATTTTTATTTTGTATTACGCATTATTTGTAAAAAAAAACAAAAATTATTTCATTAATTCGATAAGTCCCAGCTCATGTTTTACTTGATCACCAGCAAAAATAGGCGGATAAAGAGATAGATTCGGTTTAAATGGTTCCAGAGGTTGTAAAATTTTATCACTCGCAACATGAAGAAAGAAAGTGGATGATATACGCCAGAGAGGACGATCTGGTCTTGTATTTTTGGCATCTTCAATGGCCTAAATTGTAAATCAATTAGAAAGGGTTTATTAAATATAAAGAATCAATAAGCTATTATTACCTTGATTGTATCTTCTGTTACTACAACTTCATGATATCCAGCTTTTACTTCACCACCCGTAATCCATTCGAATTGTTTTCCAGCTTGAACTACCGCGAAGTAATAAATTAATCGAAAAAAAAAGTTCAACAAATGAACAGTTTGGAACAAAAAAACATCAAGTTGAAAAAAATACCTAAGAGGTGACCATCTGGTACGCGGACCTGCATTTTTACGCCTCCATTACGTGGCCAAATGTGTAAGCCAGGAAAACGGGATTTTCCGTGAATAGTCCTACCATTTAAATTAATAAACAAATATCCATCAAATTCGTTCAAATATGTGAAAGATTTTCAAATAATGTAATGCTAACAAGAAATTCAGGTCATAATGAAAACCTATAAAACGAGGTTTCAGAAATCGTCAGCAAATAATTTTAAATTTGCATCATTAAAAGATTATTTACCGGCAAAAATGTTCCCAAGTTCCCCATACTTGTCTAAATCACTTCCAGTTGGAGCTAATAAATGTGGTCCATTTTTTGTAAGCTCAGGTAATTCATCGGCACGCATCCCAAATCCAACAGAAGCCATTTCAGCAACACCAAGTACAACACGGTGCATTTGACTTCCCCATGCATTCATTATGGCAGGCCAGATATCCTTAAAAGCTATAAAATGCATTCCGTTAGTTCAGTAAAAAATGATAATTAAACATTCATAGGCAGACCTTCGGGAATTACAGGATCAGCGTTGAGTTGCGGATATTTCGTTTCTTTCGGGATTTCTCCAATTCGCCAAAAGAATCGCCATTTGGGATCAGGTCCCGATGTAGGCAAGGGTCTATTTTCTACTGGTATCTAATGGTGACCTTAATGAATTCAAAATATAGAAATTATATTCAATAGTTATGGAATAACCACATACTTGACTAATTAGCTTTTGACAATCGATATCCTTGTGGCATTTAGGTTCTTCAGTGAATTCTGGAGTAACTCCAACTTGAAAACCAACATCTGGACGTGCATCTTTAAGTTTAGCCTTCAATTTTTATTTATAATTATAAATGAAAATATTTTCAAGCGATTTCTTCATCTTTTGTCAATGCAAAGGCATTTGTTTACCTCTAATGGTTGAGCGAAATAATCTTCAAGTAAATCCTATATGAATCAATAGTAGATGTAATATATAGCAATAATGAATTCTTGCACCATTCTAAAATTAATTACAAACCAAAAAACGAGAATTATCATCAGCCTTTACGCCTGAATTATTAATTAATAAAGCTCCATAGTCGCGTAAAGCATCCGCAGTCTAATAATACTAATATTAATAATATTGAAGCAATAAATTTTGCACCGACATATGAAATCTCCACCTTTTTACATTCATTTATTGCCGCTAAAGTTGTTTTATCTCTCATATAAAGATCAAAGTCAATTATAGGAAGAACAAAACTATCCATGTTGGAAATGTTGGAAGTAAAATAAAATAATAAACACCCTGCAGACCTGCATTAATAAAAAACACGTGAATTTATTATACATGGCGCAGCTGAAACATATTTCGCGTTTTATTTAAACTATTAATTCAAGTTTCCTCTGTAAAGAAATCATAATCCTATTACAGTTGAAAACGAAATTTTTTAAAAAAAGTGAATATAAAGGGCCATACTAATACTTGTTATTTACCTTTTAAATACAAACTCTATCAGTACCAAATTTTTTGATAATTAAATAAAAAATGTTGCAAAGGATTTAACAAAAACGTTTCGCAACGTTTTTTTTTGAAAATTTGTACAAAAACGTTTTTTTTTTTTGACTAAAATTATGGCTAGACATAAAAATATCAAAATTTTTGATGGAGATATTATTCTAATTATAATATAAATATCGTTACTATATGTAAATTTATGAGTAGAACAAGTTTCCCTTAGTTTATTATAAGTAAAATACAATTTTTGTGATTAGTATCAACTCAGTTGTTTTACACATTTATTATTTAAATTGAAATTATTGAAAAAAAATTGATGATGTTTTTTAACTTTGGCCAAAATTATAATTTTTGGCATGCTTACTTTTACCTTGAAAAGGAGGAGAGAATTCTGAATTAAGTGGTATGGTAATAATCACCACTGGTGATATTTAGCAATACTCCTATAAAAATATAGGCCATGTATATGTAATTATAATATTTTATTATCAAGTTCATTATATAAAGACAATTTTTGTAAAGTTCTTAAAGAGAGTTTTTAAATATATTTGCTATATACATGTCCTAGTTTTGTAATATATCTGTAAAAGAAAAACTTCTTATGATGTTGACTACATAGATCTACACCTTTCTAAAGAAGTAAGTTGACTACCTTCTATTTACTAATGCATTTTTCCAATGGTACATATTTAGTTAATTTAAAAGGTATAAGTTTCGTTGCGAAGCCTACTGTCTTTTTTTTCATTTTTTTTAACAGTTGTTATTTTTAATAATAGAAAAATTTAGCTAATATTTAGTAAACTTTAGTACACTGGTAAAAAAATGGTCTATCCTACACATATCCTACACATATCTTACATATATCGGGTACTCAAAATGTAGAAAATCATACACAAATAATACACATATCATATACATATCGGGTACTTATATATATAGTATACCTATCAGGTACCTGATATATGTATGATATATATATTAGTACCTGATATGTGTATGATATGTGTATTATTTGTGTATGATTTTCTACATTTTGAGTACCCAATATGTGTAAGATATGTGTAGGATAAATCATTTTTTTACCAGTGGTATATAGATTATTATAATGTATTTTAATAAAATAATTTGTTGTTTAATAACATTTAGTATTGTTATATTAATATAATTTATATAAATAATAAAATATTGATATGATGTTTATTATCTTTAAAATAATGTACATCGTAATATATGGGCAATGAACATTTTGAATTGGTGATGAACATCAAATATTGTGATATCAATAGTACATTGCAGGGTCTAATGTTTAACATTTTTTTATGATATATATCAAGTGACCAATGTACATTTGATTAATATTTTTCCTGTAATTTTCTGATGCATATTACTTTTAGGAAAAAAATTATTGGAAAAATAGAAATAATACTTGGTATAGCTATAATATGCTCTTATACAATATAGTATTTATAGAAAATTTTATAAAAATAAGCAAACTAAATAAAGATAATTCCAGTTCTAATGTAAATATTATATCAATTACAAGTGATATTTAAGACTTATTTGATATTGTGTAGGCAGATTTCATTATAAAACACTCTGAATATACTACTGAACTTCATAAAAATAGGTTATACATATATTTAAAAATAAGTCTTCTTCCATTATTTTATATAATATATCTGAAAAAGACTTATTTTAGAATACATTTTTTGTCTAAGTTTACTTTAAGGATGCTTGTCAAAACTATTTTTTTAAAATTTTAATATAATCAAAATTCAATTTGAATATATTTTTTATAATAAACATTAGGAAGTTTTAAGCGGCCATATAATGTATTGAACAATGCCATGTGTTACTCAACTTCAAAAAGTATTGAGCAATAAATCCTTTGTAAACTGATGCCACTTAAAAATGGTGAAAAACATATATTTTAACATGTAAAATAACAGCAATGTGTTAAATAACATGAGGACCCCGGATATCTAATATAAAGGTCATAATGGACTTTTGGCCAAAAACACCCTTTTTGCTGAAACTCAAAAAATCGTTTTTTGTAAATATCTCAGCATCCAGTAATTCAATTTTAATGAACTTTTTTTTATTTTGTAGCCCTCATATAGCTCTACAATTTAAAAAAAAGTTCATCAAAATTGGACTACTGGATGCCGAGATATTTACAAAAAACGATTTTTTGAGCCCCTGAAAAATGGGCCAATCTGCTGAAAGTGTGACTTATGACCTGTTTTGGAGATATCCGGGGTCCTATAACATGTATATTGGCATCAATTAATGCATTGATTAACAGTATCAACAATGTAAAAAGCGTATATTAAATAGTGTCAATTAAAATGATATAATGTAAATTCTTTATTAATAAATTATTGACTATTACTACTTATTATCTATTAATTATTAAATACAAAGTTTCGTAACTTTTAGTTAATGAAATTTACCATCTATCCACTAATAAATCTAAATTTAAAACATATAACAAAGTTTCGTAACTAAAGTTATAAAATTTATCATCTAATCCCAAATTCAAAAGTTTCGATTGATGTCTACAAAAGAAAAAAAAAGAAACGTTAAAAAACGTTTCTAATAGTAAAAAAATAAAAATAAATACGAAAACTTCCCAAAATTTTGCGAAACTTATCATTTTTATAGACTGAAATTCCAAAGTCCTACAAACAAAAGGAAAGAAAATGTTAACTAACATTCTCAATAAAAAAAAATATATGGTAATTTATGAAACTTACTATTTTTACCTGAACTTATAAAAAAAATGAAAAGAACGGTTAGTAAACCATTCCATTATAATAAAAAAAATAATAATAAAACCAAGATTCATATTTGTATCCTATGAATCTTAGTTCATCCATTTGTCAGAAATTTTCTGAACCTATAAAAATCAAAGAAAAGAACGGTTATTAGTAACCATTCATAGTGTTTTTTTTAAAAAAAATAAATAAATAAAACCAAGATTCAGAATACTTACGAATCTTGGTAGGATCCTGAATAATACTAATATAACTCACAAGTAAACTTTAAGTACTGAAGTAAAAATACATTTTATAATATAACTCTGTCAATATTGAAGCCAGAAATTCGATTTTACTATCATTAGAATCCTCTCATTGAGACGAATCCAATGATATAAATTTTATTAAAATCGAATCACTGGTTGTGTTAAAAATAGGGGTATGTGGGATAACAAATTTTTAAAAATACTTCTGTAATACGCAACTTTTGAAAAATTTTAATATAAACTCTACACAACTCAAATGTGAGTGTATCACAAATCAAGGATATTTATAACGCCTTTGTTTCCGCAATGCGTTTCAAAAAACTGACCTCTGCACAGTTAGTATATCTACATTCTGCTGTTATTCTCCCAAAGGTTCACTTTCAATCGCAAGTCACGTATATTCCTAAAATAACACTTGTACGAACCATTGGATCATATTATATTCTACACAAGAAACTCCTTTCTCTTTCCCGTACTTTTTCTTCTTTGGCTTTGTCATTAAAATTTTTTAATGAAGATACCAATCCATATACATATTTGTGTCAATGACTTATTTTTCGTTTTATGGTTTAGGTTTCCCTATATTCCTCTGGTTTCACGTATTCCAACTGGATTATCATCACTTTCTGTACCTTTCAAGCAGCTCTGAAATAGCTTTCTTCTTTAGACAAAATTTCAAATTTTTCTAAATGGAATTCTGGTCAAAGGTCAATTTACCACAATTGGATTTTTCAGACTTTACGTATCCTTTCTGAAAGTGGTTTAAATATCAAGCTTCCTGTTGCCCTCTGTCTGGATTTAATGCCTTCTCATTCTATACCACTGGTCACTCTATCATCTGAACTTGCAAATTTTGAGAAAGCTATTTGGTTATTTTCTCCACTTTGGTGTCTCATGCAACTTGTTGATCCTTTTCACCAATTTATTTATACTTGGATGGATCTTAAAAAAATGAACTTGGTTTCTAAAACTGGCAAAACCCCTTTCTGGTTTATTCATCTTATCAACATACCTGATTTATTTTCTTATTTACTGGCTGTTAGTACGTCTGTACAATATCCTTCCTATTTATTAAAATTACAAGACTCTGCCCTTGCTACTATTGACGAGCACTTTCATCTTGAAGCCCGCAATCAGTATTATTGGATCGTGGAATTAGATGGTGCTAATTCTATGATTTTTGGACGTGTGTTTTACACTGTTAATATTTATAGCACTCGGATTGTCTATTTCTCGCATTGGATTAACTCTTCTTCTAATTGGCCCTTTATAACTCCTTGTCAAGATTGTTCCTTGCATGACGAATCGTTAGTAAATGGTCTTCTCCAAGTGTGATCTGTTAGATCCAAATTGTCTTATCGATCCTGTTTAACGTTTCTTCCTTCTTATAGATGTTTACAATTATTTCATATGTCTTCACATATAGATTCTACTTGTAATAATATTAATTTATTTCTTTCTCCTTTTTTGTTATGTTCCTTTTTTAAAATTTTATTAGAATATTCTTATGTCCATATTAAAGCTCTAATCGGGTCAGTTCTAATCTGATAACCTGGACTGAAAATTCAGATTGGTCCAGTCTGGATTGATGCTTTAACCCAGACCAAAATCACTGGTCAAAAACCAAGGTAAACATAGCATGAGCTTGAATTTTATTAATTAATGCCGAAGTAACTTTAGAGAAACACAGAGTGATCTAAAAAGTATCGCAACAAGTGCAGAACTAATAGAAAAACAAAGAACAAATAATCTTCCGAAATTACAAATAAGAAAAGCTAAGATTAAAAACCCCACCCTCTCTATATAAATAACTACGGCTACTCCCCCCAAATATATCTCAAAATGAGTAAAGTCGACTATGCTATACGTAACCCATCCAGCGCCGTACCCACTCCTAGAATCGGTAAAGAACCT